CCTGTTACATACATTTCAACAAAACCATTATACCCTGATTTCCCATTGAAAATGGGTTCAGGGTATAAAAATTTAAAAAAAAACATGAAAATAATCAAACCATAAAAACCGCTTTTTTTAGGCTTTTTTGTAAAAATTTTCCGCTTTTTTTCTTGTTTTTTTTTTCTAAAAACAGTTTTTTTTCCGGTAAAAAGTTGGCAGCACTGCCCTCTACACTGAATTTTTTTTTTGCTCTCTCTCTCTCTCTCTCTCACGATGCTCTCTGCCCTTTCAAATATGTATATGTATATGTATGTTGGCAGGGTTACCAACTTAGCCTTTTACCCGTCAGATCTGGCATTTTTCAACTGCCAAATGCAGGAAAAAATGTAATCTAGCTAATGGCATACAAATTGAATTTGATCTTGAATTTGATCTATCCGTTTCTAGCAGGTGTGAAAGGTTAATTAACCATTTTCTCTCCCGGAAAAGTTGGCAGCATTGTTCTGGGGATCTCCTAGTCTCCTAGTCTCCCAGTCGAGCAGTCTCGATTACAGCTTTCTTGTTTGTTTAATATATAAAGACTTCGTGCACCCCAACTCGAGTTTTCATCCTATATATTTTATTAAATATAGACATTTTTATTATTATTATTAATTTTGTCGTTTATTATGAATTCGATTTTCAATTTTTTAGTCTTATATTTTTGTTTCGATAGCCGTGAACATTTCACATTTATAAAGTATGCGCGTAAGTCGTTCATTCCGGATGTATAGGTATGGCAGAAGACTATCTTAAGTTGGGCTACTTCGCTGACTTTGTGAATTTGGTAGATGGTCATTGAGGATGCCAACAATCAGTCAGTCAGAGAAATGGCMCAGCCTTAAGTTTGGTTCACTGCTTCCGTACATGAAGTGTTGTTCAGTGAATTTAATATATAGAATATATAAGAGAAGATATATATATACATACATACATTAAGAAACGTAAAGCAAAATGGAAACAGCTGTAATATTGATAAATTTTTATACATTTTGCTTATATGTAAGGATGTAGACAATATTATTTTGTTTATCTCTAAGGTATTACATATATGAATAGTAAGGTTAGATACGGTTCAAGGAGGTCAATTTCTTTCCACTACCGCAGTCTTCCCAAATGGATTGTTGGTTTCCATTTTTTAATATTTTGGGTATCATTCATTTTTTTTCCCATGTGCATTAAATACATAAATGATATCTATTTCATGAGCAGTCTAATAAACTTATATTTTCGTTAGCTTTGTTGAAGTTTAGGCATCGGAGCTGAGGACATTTACCGAAAATGCGCTCAGGGTTTCACCTTTCTTGGATAAAGCTTTTGCCTGATATTGTCCCACATCATCTAAAGTACATTTGTTTACAGTGAACTTATAGCGATTGCCATCCTTGGTGAACGAGTATCTGGTGCGTGCTTCGTCAATAGGTTTACCATCCTTTAGCCAAGCTAGATTGACCAGCTCTCCATCGAATTCACATTCGAAGTGGGCATCTTCTCCCTCCGTAACGGAAACGGAAACGGGAAATTGAACAAATGTCGGCTGCTTGGGGTCATCGCCAGGTACGATAACATTGATTGTACAGGTACTGAATGATTCCCCCGCATCGTTAAACGCCTCACATGTATATGTGCCGCCATCTTCTGGGAAAATTTCAGCGATCTGCAAACGATAAATGTTTGCCTCGCTCGTATATTGGAAATCCTTGCTTGGCTTAATCTCTTTATTGTTGTGCAGCCAAACGACATCAAAATGATCGGCGCCAATAATACGACAAGCCAAAGTAACCGCGTCTCCATCCTTTACAAATCTGGACTCCAAGTGGCTTACTATCTTTGGTGGCTTGTCACTGCCAGTTGCCTGTCGCTTGCTTGACTGCTTGTCCAGAGCTATGAATATAGAGCGGTACAATCAAAGTAAAAAATATGTTCATCAATCATCAATCCAACGATCACGTAAATATGAAATATCGTTGGAATAGGATCCCAACAGGACTATGAGCTATCAAGATGTTTAACACTCACGTTGAATGGTTAGCCTGCACTTCGTTTCGACAGCGCTAATTGAGTTTGTCGCCGTGCAAGAGTAGACGCCTTCATCTTCTGGGAAAACTTCGTGGATGGTGAGCGTTGCAATACCGTTTTTGTATTTTAGATCCATTATTTCGGATGACGATATCGACTTGCCATTTTTGGACCATGTGATTTGTGGCTCCGGATCCCCCTTGACATGGCACATCAACTGCAACTGCTCGCCATCGCGAATTGTCAAGTCGTGGAGTGGTTTAGTGAACTCTGGCTTACACATTAAGGAATCGTCGGGTGGAACTAAGTGCAAAATGTAAATTCCCATTAATTTCATATATTTTGTGTTATTAATGTAAATTGTAATCTATATATACAGTGCAAAAATTTTATGTCTGTATTTAAACAAGTTTCCTCTTTATTTAATGCCAGGATATTTAGATGTGGAAGTATTTCCCTAATTTACCGTTTCTATAAATCGTTATATTAGTAACATGCATCTACACAGTAAAACTGAAGTCTTAGGTGTAACACTATTCAAATCAGAATTCAAAATTTAAGCCAAATTATTGTTATTGTACACGATAGAAATTTCAAGTTTCAACTGTTGTAGCTAAAGAGATCGTTTTGCTTAGAGCATATGGTCAATAACATATTAGTTAATAGTTTTTATAAGAACTACGTACGTATTAGCTCTTTAGTAGCACTACGAGATCGTGATGGACTGCCGGGTGCCTGTAAGCTACTGGCTGCATATTTCTTTTTGCCTGAAATGCTATTCTGTATCGATGAGGAACTTGTGCTTGTTGTCGAGTTGCTGTTGGTGACCATCTAAAAGAAACAGTTACCAATCAATTAGACCCCTTTTTGAATTAATTATGTCCTTCTACTCTCACCTTAACGTCCGCCGTCGATGTCGAGCTTGATGACTGATGTGAACTGTTGGAAATATTTGACGACGTGAATTGACGTGTGGTTATAATCGGTGGAGGAGCCGGCTTGATGGGTTGTTCGATGTATTTTCGATCTGTTTTAGAAAAAAAAATACAAACAAACAAAAGTTGAGATAAATGTTACATATTGCTTTTTAGGCAGGGATATAGATACTTTTCTATTAGCTACTTTCTACGGGTGTGAGGGAAAAGGAGATAGGGACAAATTTAGAATGTTTTAGTAGTATACAAAAGTATATAAACAACTCAAAATATTGTAGGTCGATGCACTGATTAGGAAAGTTATTGCGAATAAAATGATATCGTAAGATCTAAGGGGAATATAGAAATTTGACGATTTCCAAAGTTCTTTCGTTATATCCTTAAAAGGTGTCATAGTCAATAAGTTCACTGGTCTTTTTTTTTTTTAGCTTTAAGCTCTAACTTTAGATATGAACCTTGTTTTTTTTAGGAATCGAGTTTTTAATCTCGAACTACTAAATCGACTTTTTTTTTTATAACATGCATGGTATACTACATATTATACAAAAAAAAAACATAAATTGGACTCCACATAGGTAGAATAATTATGTATGAGTATGAAAGTATGCATGCTTAAGAGTAGAGAATAAATAAACATAAGTAATAGTATGTGTATGTTTTAGACTAGAGTTTATTTATAACAAATTACCTCCTGAGTAAAGGAAGTTGTGTGCAAGTTCGGCCTGCTCAGGTGTAACCCATTCTCCTGGATAAGACATTGAATTTGAGTAAATGCAAGAAATCATATGTTTAAAAGATTAAGCTCAAAGACAAATGAAAATAATATGTGTTCATATGCTACATCTATATATGTATAGTATATCATGCCATCTGTATATCACATGTCGATAGTAGATAAGAAAAGTGGAGAAAATTCTATGTTTATACACATACATATATATGCGTATACATATTTAAATATGTACACTATATAACCTTACTGTATATATACAGTAAGTAAATAAAGTTTAGACACGCAGTAATTTTTCAACCAGCTTTATTACATTACATTAAATGAAACAAGTAAGAGTGCTTAGTAAATCCAAAGTCTTTAGGTCTAATAGTATTCAAATTCTGCCTAAAAAACCAAAATCAATGTATCGATAATTCTCGATAAAAAAAGATATCGGGTGAGTTATCGAAAAAATATGATAAACTCGTACTGCGTATGGTATACACGAGTATATATTGCCAGACAGACGGAGGAGCTATTTCGATTCAGCTCGTCGCACAGTGGGCGGATTCGAGAAATCTAGCGTAACGAAATTTATTATTAGAAAAATAGGAAATATTTATAATTTATTTATTATTGTATGCTTTTTTTTAAATAATTTTTTTGTATCTTTTTTTTTATCTACAATATTTATTCTGTGACCTTTTTTTGTGTATTTACAGCGAAAATTTCTTAAATTGTTCCGACATTTTTTTACTATGTTCATGAAACTTTTGGACTATGGACTATTTTCATAAAACTTTTAGAACGTGATTATAACATTGAAATGCGTATATTTGTCAAAGCAAAATATAGCAGAATTTAAATCACTATATCCTCAGCTCCGATTTGCCACTCCCCTAATGGGCGTAGACATATAAGAATTTATAGAATCATAACATTATCTTACGAGCAAAATTTCAGCGCTCTAGCTTTAAAATTCTTGGATATACAGTTTTATTCGATTTGCCACGTCCTTAATGGGCGTAGATATATCCGGCATAGCTCGTGATCTTGGGTGGTCGACGCGGATCTACATTCCAAATTTCAGCATTCTAGCTTCAACTAATATGATTTCAGGCATATCGGAAAATGCATTTTCCGATTTGCCACGCCCTAGTGGGTGGATCAGGAAAAACGCTTATAACACTTTATAAATCTAAAAGTTTCCTAAAGAGAGTCCATTCACAAGAATTGTTATTAAATAATTAAGTTATATAGTATGCCCACACTGCAGCCGATGCGTGTGTGGTTATGTGGATCTGTGAGTGTGTTTATGTGTGTTTTTCTTGTGTAAGCAGAAAGCTATTTTGACTAGAGTTTCCTTACTTGTTTCCACATAAATAGACTCTAAGATTAGAAGTAGGTTCGGTATTTTTATACCCTGAATCCTTTTTCAATGGGAAATCCGGGTATAATGGTTTTGTTGAAATGTATGTTACAGGCAGGAGGCGTGGCAAACCGCCACAAAGTATATATATTCTTGATTAGCCCTGTCCGTCCGTCTGTACGTATGCTTGAACGTGTCGATCTCAGAAGATAGAATTAGAAATTGAAATTTTTTTTCCTAAAAAATCGATAATCTGCCCCATTCTTTTATTATTAATTAAAAAAAATTAAAATTAAAAATATTATCGAAAACCAGTAAAAAATTTATTTCAGCTACATCTTTAAAGCCCTATTCGCCAAATTTTAAATATAGATTTATATGTACTTTATAGAATTTCGATTTTGGTCAAAATAAACCCTTATATTAACCCCTCACCATCACCTCATCCATCTGTGTAAAAGCCGTATTTCAAATACTAGAGACTTGGGCAAATACATGCATATCTATGTTACATTCATAATCTGAAATCATTAAGATAGTCCATCCACAATAAGAGTTATAACACAAGTAAATTTCCATAGTAAGCCATCACTGCAGCCAATGCGTGTTTATGCGTGAGTGCGTATGCCTGTGTGTGTGCGTGTGTGTGTGCATGTGTGTGTCCATGTGCGAATAATTATTGAAATATCAGTTGCTCGAAGGGTTAAGGGGATCTTGTAGTCTCGACTACAGCTTTCTTACTTGTTTTAACACGTAATGTTGATAGCGAAGTGTACCTAAACTTTATTTGCTGACTGTATAAATTGTATTTTTATACACCGACTTCGGATGTTCGGTAACTATTTTAGGATAGGATATCTTAGTATAAATAGAAATTACCTTCGACAATAACGACGCATGTTGTCTCATCTGTTCCATGGCAATTCGTTGCCTTACAGCTGTATTTGCCAGAGTCTGAGGGCTTACAATCAATAATTTCCATTGTGACAACGCCATCGGAGTGAGTCATTGCATATTCGTATTTACTTAGCTCACGCCCATCCTTATACCACTTGACAGAAGGAACGGGCTTGCCACTTACACAACAGAGGAGCTTACACGTGTCGCGGGCCTGCATGACGCGTGGACGTAATAGGAATGTAAAATTGGGTGCCGATTCCGCTTCCTCCTGCCAGAAGGTATAGGGCAAGGGCTCACGACGTCGAACCGGCGTCGATTCGGTTCTATATCTTGGTTGTTCCTTTGGCAGTGGATGTACATTGAGGAACACTACTTCCTCTCTGGAACCGTAATGGTTTTCGGCGCGTATTATGTATTCGCCACGATCATCTAGCTTGACACGATTAATTATAAAGTAATAGTCATCTCCTGCATACCGTTTCATAAATTTAACGCTCTGCCTTAACTCAATATTGTTGTGTGTCCAAGTGAGCGTGGGCGTGGCAATCGCGATGCACCTACAATAGAATCTAACGCTTTGTCCTTCGTAACAGAACTGTGACGAGGGTCGGATGACAAATCGAGGAGCAGCTTGTCGACGATCGAACACGGCGTCATGAATCTTATATTTCTCCATTAACAATTTTCGTAGTGATGAATACTCGGATAGGCGGCCAATAGGCAATAGATACTTTTCAAACTCCTCGTACTTCTTTCGCAATTTCTCCCGATATGCTAAATAACGATCGCGAGCAATCTTCTGTGTTAGCTCCCTGTGATCGCCTGTCAGCCATGGATGAAGCAGACATTCGTGGGCAGTCATTCGTTTCTCTTTGTTGGCAACAAGAAGCTTGCGTATAAAATCTTTGCCCTCATCGGATATATGCTTAAATGCATCCATATCGAAGTCCCAATCGCAGGCTTTAACATTCTTTAGAGTCTGTATATCGTTCTCTCCAGCGAATGGCGAAAGTCCACTTAGGCTATAGCATACGAAAAGAAAGCAAGCATTTATGCAGAATTACATATTTCTCAATGTTTTAATGAAATAAACTTACAGCACATAAGCAAGCACACCCGTGGCCCACATATCTGTATAGAAGCCAACTGGCTCTCTATTTACAATTTCAGGGGCTGCAAATTCGGCTGTGCCTGTTGTGATTTTTACGACTTCGTTAGGATCCAATCGTGTGGCCAGACCAAAATCAATTAGTTTCACGTTTGTACTGCTGCGTGTCTGGCACATTATATTCTCCGGCTTTATGTCCAAGTGAATAATATTTTTCTCGTGCATATGTTTGATACCCTCGCAGATCTGTCTCATATAATTAATAACTTCGGCTTCGGTCATAACGTATCCTTCTGCAGTGATACGTTCAAATAATTCTCCACCAGATAAGCTATGACGAATATACATACGTATTTTATATATTAATAGATAATTTTTGATATGCTTTTAAATAAATCATGATAAATATTGTATTTTTTTATTATTTTTTTTTTTTTTGCTATAGGCACTCTATTCACTTTTTTTAATATGAAGAAATTTTTAAGATAAAATGCTGCTCATATTTTTTTTAGTAAGTAGTAAGTTATGAATTTTTCTTTTACTTACAATTCAAGTATAAGAACCATTTCGTCATCATCTTCGAAAGCATCGTGTAGGTTGATCAATTTTTGATGATGCAACTGGTTCATAATGTCAATCTCACGTCGAATCAAGTCTTTTTCAACAGCATGTGATACGGGTATAAATTTGGCAGCGAATATATTTCCAGTGCTACGCTCCCGACATCTGTGCACAACACCAAAGGCACCGGTACCGATCTCCTCAAGTATATCGTATCTATCGTAAACGCTTTGATGGGAAATTTCAACGGGCTGTGGCACGAATTTCGAGTATATGTCGAATACATAAGAATCATAGTCTTTAATTGCTCCATCAGCCTTGCCGCGTATCTTTTTGCCGTTTTCATCCAATTCCCATTTACGCTCTGTGGGCTTCTTCTTAATGGAATCTTTCGTCTTGATCAGTGTGCTTACCTCCGATGGATCAGATCGTCCATAGACATTATCGGCAAATATACGGAAATCATACTCTTTGCCAGGTGTCAGACCAGTAACAGCCATTGAAGTGAATCGAGTGTTTCCAACACGTATCCATGAAGAAAGTGGATGCTCACGCCTTTCAACTAGATAATTTGTAATATCGCTGCCACCATCCCAAACAGGTGCCTTCCAGCTTAGAGATAACGAGTCTGTGCCAATACTCTCAACCAATGGGAACCGTGGTGGATCTGGACGATCACTGATTTGCACTTGAATTACAGCCGTATCCGACCCAAGTTCATTCTCTGCCGTTATTCGGTATGGGCCAGAGTCGAGCCGCGATCCATCAAGAATTGTTAATATGGCGTGGCGGTCTTTGACTTCAACATTGTAGTGTCCGCCAGATTCAATTTTATCTCCATCCTTTACCCAATTAATACGGGGTTTGGGGAAACCAGTGAATGGTATTTTAATGACAACATTTTCCCCCTTATCAAAGTAAGCAGTGTCTCTGAATCGTGGTGGAACATTCAACTTCGGCGCAGCTACAAATTGTCAATAAATTAATTTTAGTGACGTTGATATAGTATCTGACTCTATTTTTATGCTTATTAAAGAATGTAATGTAATGAAAGTATGTAACTGGCAGAAGGAGGCGTGGCAGACCCCTCAAAGTATATATTTCTTGATCAGAGCGACGAGCTGAGTCGATTTGGTCCTGTCCGTCCGTCCGTATGTATGAACGCGTCGATTTCAGAAGATATAAGAGCTAGACACTTCAAAATTTTTTAAATATCCGTATATATAACGCGGATATTGAGCTTATCACCAAAAATCGATAACTCATCCCGTTATTTGTTTTATCGATAAAAAACCTTGTCGAAAATCAGTTTTAAAATTATATCTTCCACCTCTTGAATGCTAGAGTCTCCAAATTTTAAATGTAGACTTCTATGCATTTTATACAATTTCGGCTTTTGTAAAATTTACTCTCCACCCCTATATTCACCCCCTAACCCACATATTTGTAAAAGACGTATATCAAATACTAGAGGCTTGTGCTTTGCAAATACATGCATATCCATGTTATAATAGTAATCTCAAAGTTTCATGAAGAAAGTACATCCACGAGAAAAGTTATTGAACAATTAAGTTCTCATAGTAAGCCACCACTGCACTATGGGGAAAAATCGAAATTATCGGGTATGAATTAATAACTTGAAAACTAAGCAAGATTTTTTGATCCAGTTTTTGTATTATTAATATATATACCATCAGAAATATATTTTATAAAAATGGGCGTGTCACCGCCCACAAAAAAAATTAATTTTGTTAAAAAGTTAATTTTGTTTTTTAAAGAATTTTGCTTGTTAATACTTTAATATAATAACTTTAATTGAAAACAATCGAGCTTTTTATAAAATCGAAATTAATTTTCTTCAGTTTTGAGTTCCAGATCAAAAAACTTCAGGTTCTTCTTCTTAATTGTGCCTTCAACTTTACATAATGCAAGGCGTGCAACTTCATTAGACAGCAACCTTTATGCTTTCAAACTTGTTTCTAAAGATTTGCCGAAGAAATATTCTGATCAGATGTATCCATTGCTCTATTACAACCATCAGCGAAATTATGGATTCTGCTATCTTTCTATGCGTGATGAAATTTGTCTGATTTATAGACCTGGTTGTGCAAATCAGACGCTTCTTTGCCAAAAATGCCTACAGGGTGAACAGTTATTATTTTATAAACATTTGTTGTCATAGACAGTCATTCATAGTTGTCAGTTCCTGCTGCATTTCTTTCATTTGGCATTTATATTTCAGCAAAAAAGCGGCTTTTGCTTTTTAATATGATTAATAAGTTGAGTCAATATTAGTCTTATTTAGTTTCGCCTTAAAAAAAATCACAATTATTGTTTCTTGGTTAGGCCCTTTTTATTGAGCCAAATATCACTCTGGTCAGCTCGATTGATTGATTTGCGCCGGTTGTGCGCAAAAGTGCACATTGAGACAAAGGCATTGATATCACAATTAATTCCTCTACGACATACAATTGGAATTATACTTATGCGCCCTTTTGGCTGTTTTATATATCATTGCAAAGTTTAATTTGCTAATTTTACAAAAAATTAATAGAATAAGTTCAAATATTAAATGTTATCTAAACCAACGCATAGTAGAAATTCTAATAATTCATATACTTTTTAAATTTCTCAAAAATTATGTCTGGTCATTAAATAACGACGATTTGAAAATCAGCAACTAGAAATTGTAAGCTGAAGGCACATGCTTTTCGAAGAAAACAGCTGATTTTAACAGCTGTTAGGCTTAACAGTGGACTGTTATTCAACATTTAGGGTACAGTATCTTAAAGTTTGGAGTTTTATTAAGATGGTAACATAAAAAAATAATACATTTTAATACTTCGAAAAAAACGACAAAATACCCGCAAAACGCCAAAATTTCCCATAAAGCACTGCAGCCAATGCGTTTTTATGTGTGCGTACGTATGTCTGTGTGTGTGCATATGCGAATAATTATTGAAATATTAGTTGCTCGAAGGGTTCAGGGTATACAGGGATCTCGTAGTCGAGCAGTGTCGACTAGAGCTTTCTTACTTGTTAATGGGTTCAGCTTACAATAATAAAGAATAATAGTCAAGATTCTTATAGATCCTTCGAGGAACTGATAATTCCATAATTCTTAGCTCCTTTTCTGCTTACACAAGAAATAGCACATGTCCACATATAAATACATGTGTAATTTATATTTAAATCAAATTCAATGCTTTCTTCGACTCAGCTAGTGGTGTTAATGTGGTAATGAAATACTTACTCATAATGGCGAGAGCTGCACGTGTTGACTTGGCACCGGCTTTATTTACGGCACGACAAACATATTCATCAGCATCTTCGCCGAATACGTCGTTAATATTCAAGAAGTGATTATCACCCTCGGAATAGATGTGATAGCGAGCTCCACTCGTAATCTCACGCGCTCCTTTATACCAAGTTATGGTAGGTCGAGGAACTCCGGTGATTTCACATGTGAACTGTGCATTATGGTTTTGTATGCAGTTCGCATCACGTAGTGGCTTCACAACAACAGGAGGTGTTGCCGCCTTTGGATCGACTATTTTAACGGCCTGCGAGGCGGTCGACGGTCTCGATAGTCCAGCTGTATTTTGTGCGAATACGCGGAATTCGTACTGACGACCTTCAATCAAATGATGACAGTTGATTTGATTTGCAGCACAAATAATTTGATTAACTCGTTGCCAAGTATCGCTGCCAATTTCTCGTTTCTCAATCCAATATCCTTGTATATAGCTACCACCATCCAACTCCGGCTTGTTCCATTCTAAATGGACAAAGTCTCCACCAATCTCTGTAATGTCAGGAATGCCAGGAGGTGATGGTGGATCGATTGGTGCCTTGGCACGAATTGGATTTAAGCCTTCTAATGGAGAGCCTATGCCGTTTTCATTAACAGCCATTACGCGGAATATATACTCTTGGTTTTCGATCAGACCTTGCACATTGAAGTTTGTATCCTTGCAGGTGCTGGACACAGTGATCCAATGGGGTGACGATATATCCTTCCGTTCAACCACATAATGAGTTATTCTCAGACCACCATCATACACTGGTGGACGCCAGGCTAATATACACGAATGCTTGTTGATATGTGAAATTCCTATTGGTCCAACGGGTGCTGAAGGCAATCCGGTAATACGTGCATCAAAACGTCCGACTGCACTACCAGAATCATTGCTGAGCTCAATTTGATAGTTGCCACCATCGGTCTTAACGATATCGCAAATAAATATAGCAATATAATCATCAAAGACAGTATATTTAAAATGAGATTCGTCAGCCACATCGGAGATGAGCTCGTTATTTCTGGTTATCTTCACTGAAAGTGGCTGATCGCCTGAATAGTAAATCTTAATCTTTGTATTATCGCCCTCTGGTAAATACAACTCATCGGGGCATCGGTTTATAATCGGTGGTGAGCCAACTTTAAGATAACTAGATGTATGCACAAATCCAAGCGAGTTTATCGCTTCACAAGTATAGTCACCATCATCGCCAGATTGCACATTTGTGATGTGTAAACGGAAGGCACCGTCTTTACTATCACATGTGAAACGTCCTCCAGGCTGCATCTGGATTTCTTTACCATTTCTCAACCATCTTGCTGTGGGACTTGGCTTACCAGATGCAGCGCACTGTAACGTAAAGTCTTTGCCACAAGGTGCAATCCTGTCTTGTAATCTCGATATCCAATCTGGCTTCTCGCCGCCTAAAATTTCGCAGACCTTAATGGGCATAGTACAATGGCTGGGCTCTGAGCGTCCTGCAGCATTAATAGCAAAAATTCGGAATTCATAATCGCCCATTTCGATAAGGTTAATAACTGTGAATTCAGTATCGAGAACATTGTAATCATTACATTTAACCCAAACAGCACCCCCAATATCTCGACGCTCTATAATGTAACCAGTAATGCGAGAGCCTCCATCGCTGAGTGGTTTCTCCCATTTTAGATCGACATAGTTCTTGCCCACTTTCATAACCTGTGGTGTACCTGGAGGAGATGGTATATTAAATTTACCCTTCAGCTTGAATCGCATTGATGGAGGAGATGGTTTACTGTAGCCAGCAGCATTCTTCGCTTTAATACGGAATTCATATTCGCTACCATTCGTTAAGTTGTACAATTGATATTTAATGTCTTTTATTAAATACTCATAGGTATTCCATGATGAGTCATTGACGATGTCACGGTATTCAATTTGATAACCCTGAATGCGAGAGCCACCATCACTGGCTGGACGTGTCCATATTAATGTTACATTGCCAGAATCCCAATCAATTACCTTCGGCTGGCCAGGTTCATCGGGAACAGTGAATTGATGTTTGGCAGTTATGGGTTCAGGCATGTCTAGTGACTCTGATAGTCCATATTGATTCTCAGCTCTTATACGGAAATGATATTTGTGATTGGGTTCCAGGCCCATTACATCGTAATGTGTATTGCGTACAAAACTGCTAACCTTTACCCATGTACCACTAGTATCCAATTTCTCAACCACATAATTTGTGATTGGTGACCCACCATCGTCAAGTGGTGTCTTCCAAGCTAGTGTACACGTATCTGGTGTAATATCATAGACATTCAATGGACCTTGTGGTGCACCAGGTCTGTCAACAACGGTCACATGACAGGATGCTGTGTCGGAGCCCTTGCTATTTGTTAATGTAATTGTATAGGATCCAGTTTCCGAACGCTTAGCACATTTATTGTGGTAAACTGAGCTGTAATCATCTGTATCGAATCGAATGCGTTCATTGGCTGATACTTCGATACCATTGATATTCCAAGAAGGTGTTGGCCGTGGATTCGCATGATATGGTACAGTTATATGGAATTCATCACCAGCAATTACAGTCATATCCCTTATAGATAAGTCAGATGTTATTTTTGGCGCGTGGGGCGGACGGCGACAGAAAATAAGCTCGCTTGATGCACTAAATGGTGATTGACCCGCCGCATTGACAGCAGCAACTCTAAATTCATATTCTGCATTTTCTATTAAGTTGGGTATCTTGCAGGTAAGATCTGGACAGAGGGCATGAACAGCCTTTGTCCATTTGTCTTCACTCAAAAGTCGCTTCTCGATTACGTATCCGGTTATTGGTGATCCACCATCATGTTTGGGCTTAGACCAGGCAATCGTAATACTATCCTCTGTTGAATCTATGCCGCGAGGTATGCCAGGTGCATTAGGTACATCGAATGGATGCCTTGCTCTGATGGGCTCTGACGTTGTGGCTGGATCTGATTCACCATATTTATTTTCCGCAATTACTCGGAAATCATATTCCTTACCAATTGTCAGATTACGTACACGTACAAATGGCACAGTACAGTAGCTACTGACTTTTGTCCAAGTTGAAGAACGGGCCTCTTTTTTCTCAACAATATAGTTCTGAATAGGAGAGCCACCATCATCCAGTGGAGGATTCCAATATAATGTCAAAGAATCACCCGCAAATTCATCAGCACGCAAATTGCTTGGTGCTCCAGGTCTATCCAAGACTTTTACGTTAATGGTAGCCGTATCATAGCCGTGTGGATTTTTAAGCTGTAGTCTATACTGCCCTGAGTCCGATCGCTTTGAGTTCTTTACAACGAATGAAGCAGCATCATCAGTTAATTGCTGGTGCACACGTTTGTCATCATCCAGCACAATATCATTTGAGTACCAGAATGCTGTCGGTTTCGGGAAAGCAACATAGGGTACGTGAATGCTGAAATCGTCTCCGGCACGACAAATTATATCGCGAACTCCACCTAAGTCCATGCATGGCTTATTGGGCTGTTCTTCAATTTGTATGGGCTGTGATGGTTTGGAAGGTTCTGACCGTCCAACATCGTTTTCTGCAATAATGCGGAATGAATATTCTTCGCCTTCTTTCAAATCTGGTACCGTAAACACAGTAGAATTAATTGGTATGTCATTAACTGGCTTCCAATCTTTTGAATTTTTAGGTCGTTGCTCAATATAAAAGCCTTTGATTTTGGATTTTCCATCGTTTCGTGGAGGCCGCCAGGATAATGTAACACTATCCCTTGTGATGCGGTCGGCCTTTGGTGGTTCGGGTGGATCAGGACGATAGCGTTGTAGTTCAGCTGACATAGGATCAGATGGCTTTGATGGGCTGCCGGGACCAGCTTCATTGACAGCAGTTACACGGAACTCGTATCTAGAGCCTTCACGTAAATCGGGCACTGTATAGCTGGTATTCGGCGTTGGATAATTATTACACTTAATCCATTCGCCACCGCGTTCTCGTCTTTCTACAATATAACCTGAAATCGGTTTTCCGCCGCAATAATCTGGTGGATGCCATTCCAATGATGCTGAGCTTGGGGTATATCCAACAACTTGAGGCTGTGTGGGTGAACCTGGTGGATCGAATGGGGACTTTGCTACAACTGGCTTACCTTCGAGAGCATCGGAAATGCCGTATATATTCTCAGCTGTGACACGGAATAAATATTTTTTTCCTTCAGTTAGCCCCTTGACTGTGTAATTTGTTTTCGGGCAGTAGCCAGGTACAGGCTTCCAATCATCAACACCAAACTCTGTAAATTCAACAATAAAGCCTGTTATATCACTGCCACCATCATCTGTCGGTAAATTCCATTGCAATGAAATGTGATCAGGTGCTATCTCAGTGTAGGTCAGGGGACCTTCGGGCGGCCCTGGTTTATCAACTACTATTATTTCAATATCAGCAGATTCTTTTCCGAATTCATTGGATACTGTAATTTTATATACTCCAGAGTCTTTCCTAGTTGAATCATCAATACGGAAAATTGTACGCTCCGTATTTGTGTCGAATGAGATTTTACTACCATCTGATAATTTTATGTCCCCGCGCTTCCATTCAACCGTCGGCGTTGGTGCACCAGAGATCGGAATATGAACACTGACTGGTTCACCAGCACGTACTTTAATACGTCTGCCGAGCAAGCCATCGAGATGGAGTTTTGGCTTCTCCCGCATGGGGCGCGCATTGAGTGTAGATGATGGCTCTGAAGGTTTGCCATTTCCGGCTGCATTGACTGCCGATACTCTGTATTGATATTGATGATTTGGTGATACTCGGTCATCCCTATATTCGGCGGTCGGAGTTGGCTCTCCATTAATTTTGATCCACCGGCCAGTATTTACATCTCTACGCTCAATATCATAGCCAATTATGGGTGAGCCACCGTTGCTTATGGGCTGTTTCCATTTGATAGTAATATGATCTTTATCACTGTCCAATAATTCTGGTTTACCTGGTGCTCCAGGGACGGTGTATTGACTTTTAGCTATAACAGGCTGATCCGATGCTAATGGATCGGAACGTCCCTGCAAATTCTCAGCCATTACTCTAAACTCGTATTTCGTACCTTCTAAGAGTCTCGGAACAACTGCATGATTGTATTTAGCGTTAACGTACGAAACAGCAGGTACCCAACCTCCACCATGTGTTAAATCCCTTTTCTCGATGACATATGCAGATATTTCAGATCCGCCATTATCTTTTGGTGGTTTCCATGATATGGTCACAGAGTTAGCAGTTATTTCTTCGTACTCTAATGGGCCATCAGGTGGGCCGGGACGATCGAGAACAATCAGTTCAAAGCTACCCTCATCGATGCCAGAATCATTGCGCAATAGCAAATGATAAATTCCAGAATCTGTACGTTGACAATTAACAGTATGGACAACAGTATGGTGTCCTATTGTGGTAATGGTTGATCTTTCATTTGAGCGCAATGCATTACTCTTGTGCGTCCATATCGCCTCTGGTGCTGGCTCGCCAATAAAATCTATATCTATATGGAATATAAGTCCGGCCTTAATACATACTTCGTGTAATGGTGTTATAATCTTTGGTGCCAAGTAGCGTGGCTTGGCCGTTATCATATCCGATGGTTCGGATGGCTCGGACTGGCCAGCTTGATTGACAGCAATTACTCTAAACTCATATTCTTGGCCCTCGACAAGTTCTGGTACAGTTGCTGCAGTCTTATTCGGAGGTACGTGAACAACATTCACCCAGTATGGGCTTCCCTTTTCTTTCTTTTGTATAATATATTCGGTAAGGGGTGCACCACCATCCGATTTTGGTGCAATCCATTGTAGGTCAACATGATCGCGATCCCAATCGGTAATACTTGGCTTACCGGGCGCATCGGGCTCATCAAAGTCATTCTTGGCAATAATGCTTTGTGATGCTTCTAATGGATCCGACTCGCCAATTGCATTGACAGCCTTAACACGGAATAAATATTCCTTTCGATGAACAAGACGTATAACATCATGAACTGGATGGGTACTCATGCCCGCATCTGACCATGTTCCTCTGGACAAGTCCATTTTTTCAATAATGTAATGCAATATTGGTGAGCCCCCATCATCATCAGGTGCCTTCCATCCCAAGTGGCAGCCATCTCTGGTTATCTTTGTGATATCCAGTGGACCCCTTGGCACTGATGGACGGTCAAGTACTGTTGCGTGTGCTGATGCATCAAATGAACCGTGCTCGTTTTTCAGTATCAATGTATATCGTCCTTCATCAGACCGAAGCGCTGAGGGTATTTCAAATGTCAGTTCATTTTGGAAAATATTTGACTCAATTCGTCTATTTGGTTCTATTTCCTTGCCATTGTAAAGCCATTTAATTGTTGGTCGTGGTGAAGCTTCTATTGGTAGCGTCCAGCCCAGACATTTACCAGCATGAACAGTTATATCATTTAAGAGAGATTTATCAAAGAATGGGGCCAGGAAGCGTGGCTTGCATATAATGGTTGCAGATGGATCTGATGGATCGCTCTGACCACCGCGATTCACAGCAATTATACGGAACTCGTACTCTCCACCGTCTGTTAGATCGGCTATGTGGGCTTTTCGCTCATCTCCAGGTAGAACAGCAGCACGTTCCCATAGTCCGAATTTGGGTCTCTTTTCGACAATATATGAAGAAATAGGTGCTCCACCATCCCTTTTAGGTGCAGCCCATTCCAGGTCCACAAAGTCCTTGCCCCAATCAACAGCTTGTGGTTGACCTGGTTTATCTGGATGGGAATATGGATCCTTAGCTGTAATGGCTTGACTAGTTGTTAAAGGCTGTGATTGCCCTTGTTTGTTAACAGCACGTACTCTAAAATTATAATCATGGTTTTCAATAAGATTATCAGCACGAATCTCAGTGCCAGCACATTCTCCGACTGGCACCCAACGCATTGCTTCATTGTCCATTTTTTCAACGACATAGTGCGTTATTTCGGAGCCACCATCATCTTTGGGTGGTCGCCAACGCAGTGTCATTGAGTTTTTGGATACCTCATCCCCACGTAGTGGTCCTTCGGGAATAGTTGGAACATCTAGTACAGTCACTTTAACAGTATGGCTATCAATACCATTAATATTGCGGCCAACCAATTTGTAGGATCCAGTATCTGCCCGTTTAGCATCTAGAATACGCAATTTCGTGCGATCATCGAAATTTGAGATTTTCACACGATCTGCATTTATAACCATATTATCTTCATGGGTCCATTCCTTACTTGGAATGGGCTCTCCACTAACCGGCACATCAAATTCAAATACGTTTCCTGCACGAATTTTTATATCCAACATAAAGTTCTTATCAATTTTAGGCGGCAAGTTTTTGGCACGCGCAATATGCGGTTCAGTCGCATCGCTTGGTATACCGGGACCAGCTTTGTTTACTGCTCTGACACGGAATTCATATTTAACACCATCAATCAGATCAGGCACATGACCGCTAGTTACATCACCATCGACTTCAGCGCACTTCTCCCAATCTGGTGAATATCTGTCTCGCTTCTCGATTACATAACCACTTATAGGTGAACCACCATCGTTTTCTGGCCTTGTCCATTCCAAGTCCACAAAATCTTTGTCGAAATCTTTAATAGATGGAGTTCCCGGCTTGGTGGGTTCATCGTATGGATTTTTGGCTTCAATGGCACGAGGTGCTGTAAGTGGATCTGATGTACCTTGACGGTTCCTAGCACGTACTCTAAATTTGTATTTATGTCCGGGTGTAAGGCCTATCACTTTTAAACTAGTGCTTGGTCCATCTGTCTCTGCTGCTGGTACCCAACGACCAGTTGCTTCGTCCATTTTCTCTACCACATAGCTATCGATGGGTTGCCCACCATCGTCATCTGGTGGATTCCATTGCAGCGTGCAACTCTCTGCATTAACATCTTCCACTTTAAGTGGTCCATTGGGTGGGGATGGCTTGTCAATAACAGTTACTTTCACATCAGCACTATCTTCTCCGTTAGCGTTTTCAGCAAGCAGAGTATATAGACCAGAGTCAGAACGGGTCGCATTAGTTACTTTAAGTTTGGTATTATAGGGAACATGGGTAACTTTCACGTTATCTTTTGAATACACCTCTTTTTTTTTAAGTAGCCATTTAGTTAAAGGTGCTGGTTCTCCGGATACTTTACAATCAAATGTAAAAGTTTGCCCAGCTTTAATGCGCACTTCGATTAAGTTGGAGCGATCAATAACTGGCGGCTTATTGCGCGACTTGGCAACAATGGAAGGTGTTGCATTCGATGGTTCACCTGGCCCAGCTGCATTAATGGCGCTAACACGGAATTCATAAGCTTGGCCTTCAGTTAGGTCAGGAACACTAGCCTTGCATTGATCAGCTGGCACTTCCAAAGCCTTTTCCCATTGACCATATTTATCTTTCTTTTCAATGAGATAGCCAGTTATTGGAGATCCCCCATCGCTTAACGGTGGCATCCAAGTCAAATCGATGTGATCCTTATCCCAATCGGTTGCTCTTAAATTTTCAGGCTTTCCAGGCTCGTCAAACGGATTCTTGGCTATAATTGATTCTTCGCCAACTAATGGAGCCGATTCGCCCTCTGCATTTACAGCCGATATCCTAAATTTATATTCATTACCAGGCGTCAGACCAGTAATATCGGCCTGGGGCTCGGTTGATCGTCCACATGGTAACCAACAACCAGTTTCTGGATCTAACTTATCTATTTGGAAATAATCAATAGGAGTACCACCATCATCGTTAGGTCGTTTCCATTTCAAATGACATCCTTCCTTATGTACATCAGATATCTGAAGTGGTCCATTAGGCGGTGTGGGCTTATCCGTAATTATTACATTAATCAGGACGCTATCCTTGCCAGAGCTATTTGTAGCTGTTACCAAATATTCACCAGAGTCACCCCTTTGAGTCGGGCGTATAACAAGTTTGGTGTAATAGTCGGGCGTTTCAATTGTTGTATTTTTTCCAAATTGCAAGGGATAATTCGAAAATTTCCAATCCACTTTTGGTGCCGGCTCACCAATGATAACAGCGTCTAACTTTAGCGCTGTTCCGGCCGATATTGTCACATCACGTAGATTTCTGCGGTCTATCTTTGGTGCCAGATAACGCGGCTTAGCTATAAGTGTCTTGCTTGCATCAGATGGCTCTGATTGTCCACCTTTGTTTAACGCAGTTACTCTGAATTGGTATTCATTTCCTTCTATTAGCCCATTCACAGTGGCGATAGGGGTAGGCGAGTCCGTTTCCAAGGCTTTTTCCCATAGTGGACTATATTTATCCTTGATTTCAATAATGTAGCCTATGATAGGGGAGCCCCCATCACTAGCTGGTTCATTCCAAGAAAGTTCTGCTTTGTTGGCTGACCAGTCTGTTGGCTCTGGGGCGCCAGGTTTGGAAGGTACCGCTGAATAATACACAAGAATTATAAGTTTCAAAAGTGATAAAATAAGTTGTATTAATTAAAACTTACTAAATGGATCTTTGGCGACTATTGAGCCCAATGTCTCCAGCGGTTCAGATTCACCTTCCTTGTTTACAGCCTTCACACGGAACTTATACTCGTGACCGGGTATTAAGCCATCAACAGTAATTTCTGGTATATCGCTCTTACCAACAGGTAACCAAACACCTGTGTCGGGGTCGAACTTTTCTACCAAATAGCTATCAATTGGCTCACCTCCATCATCTTTAGGTTTTTTCCATTTAAGCTTGCATCCATCTTTGTGAATATCAGATACTTCAAGCGGTCCTACCGGTTTACCAGGCTTAGCTGCAAGGATTGAACAAAATGTTAGTATATTAGCTCCAAGAATCAGAACAATCTTATAGAAAACAAACCAAAAANACTTGAAATGCGAAATAGGGGCGAAGGGGGCGTGGTATCCAAAATCTGTAAATTACAGAATCGTTGTATCCATTAACTTTATATACAACGCGAATTTGAAGACGCCAAATCTAAAAGTGTTCAAATTAGGCTAAAAAAACAAAATCAATGTTTCGATTATTCTCGATGAAAAGTTATCGAGTTATAAAGCAAACTCGTACTGCGTATTTTACACACGAGTATGCATGCCAAATTTCAGCTCTCTAGCTATTATAACTTCTGAGATCGGCGCACTCATACGGACGGACGGACATATCGACTAAGCTCGTCGCGCTGATCAAGAATATATATACTTTGTGGGGTCTGCCACGCCTCCTTCTGCCCGTTACATACTTTTTCACAAAACCATTATACCCTGATTTCCCATTTTCAATGGGTTCAGGATATAAAAAAACCTATTTAATGCAACGAGTATATATACTTACTTATGATGTTGATCTGGAATTCGACTTGATCTTGACCATAAAGATTATGAGCTGTAATTTTATAAAGACCAGTATCCTTTCTCTCGGACCTACTGTTGATATATTTAGTATTGTAGGGAACTGTTTCTATGCGGCTCGCAGATGTGGGAAAAACACCTTTGCCATTTTGGGTCCAACTAATTTCAGGAGCTGGTTCCCCACTGACATTAATGTCGAGGAATACTGGCTCACCAGCTTTAATATTATATGTGTGAATGTTTTTGCGATCAATCTTTGGTGCCACTATCCGAAAAAAAAAACAGTAAAAATTAATAATAAAATATTCAATAAGAGTTTATGCAGAGTTCTATTATATACTCTCTTAGTTATGAAGCAATTCGAATATAGACAATTAGACTCGACTACTTACATTTTCTTGGTTTCGTTAAGACAGATCTGCTAGCGTCAGATGGTTCTCCAGAACCCGCTGCATTAACAGCCTTTACTCTGAACTCATATTCGCAGTTTTCGTCAAGATTTGGCACAGAAGCCTTTAACTCTTCTCCAAGCGATGGGACAGATATTTCCACTCCTTTAATCCATCTGTCTGTGCCTTTTTCACGTTTTTCAACCACATAGCCAATAATAGGCGAGCCACCATCGTTATGAGGTGGCCGCCATACCAAATCCACACGATCCTTGTCCCAATCAACTGGCTCCGGAGTACCTGGCTTGCCGGGCTCATCAAAAGGATTCTTTGCAATTATCGATTGCTCTCCAATTAATGGCTCCGATTCGCCTTCAGTGTTTACAGCTAATACTCTGAACTTATATTCATGACCGGGATCGAGATTATTCAATTCAGCGAATGGTTCTTTGAAACGTCCGGAGGGTACCCAACGTCCAGATTCTACATCTAGTTTCTCAACAACGTAGTGTTCTATTGGCACGCCACCGTCGTCTAAAGGTGGATTCCATTTCAGCTTGCATCCTTCTTTGTGAACATCCGTTACACGCAGTGGACCCTCTGGTGCTGCTGGCTTATCGAGAACGGTCACTTCAAACGAGGCTTCATCATGTCCAGTTTCATTTTCGGCCTTAATAGTGTATTTGCCGGTATGTAATCGCTTTGCAAACGGCACGGCGAGCTTGGTACGATATGATTCCATATCAATATTGTAGTCATCATCTTCGATACGAGCTTTGTTATGGAACCATGTCTTGGATGGTGGTGGCTCGCCAGAAATTTTAATATCATAGCGTATATTTTGGCCAGCTTTGATGATGATGTCCTTAATATTTGTTCTATCAATTTTGGGTGCCGCAAATCTATCCTTAGCAGTCATTTGGTCAGATGGTTCTGATGGCTTACTATGACCGGCTTTGTTAACTGCTTTAACACGAAATTGATATTTTGTGCCTTCAATTAAATCATTAACACGTACTTTACAATCGGGTGTATTTGTTTCCAGAATTTTTTGCCATTTTCCAGTGTTGTTGTCTTTTTTTTCAACAATATATCCTGTAACTGGTGCACCTCCATCGTCATCTGGTGCCCGCCATTTCAGATCTGCGTGATTTGCCGACCAATCCGTTATTTGTGGCTTACCAGGTGTATCTGCAGCATCATATGGATTTTTGGCAGTAACTGGAATGTCAGTTACTAGTGGCTCAGATTCGCCTTCAGTATTAACAGCTTTAACACGGAATAAGTACTCTTTGCCTTCAGTAAGGCCAGTTACATCAGCCTCCGGAATTTTAGTCGTTAGGACAGGAACCCACCGGCCTGTTTCCGTATCCATACGCTCAACTACGTAATGCTCTATGGGCTCGCCGCCATCATCATCAGGCTTTTCCCATTTCAAATGTACCTTCTCAGCCGTCACATCGGAGACGGCTAATGGTCCTTTTGGCTTACTTGGTTTACATAATACCTCTAGCTCGACCTCAACTGAGTCCACTCCAGAATCATTTTTAGCTGTAACTATGTAAATACCTTTATCTGCACGTTTAACTTTGGGCATGATAAATGTAGTTTTATAATCTTCGTTTTCAATTTTAATTTTATCATTATTTTTTATTTCAGTGCCATTGTAGGTCCAAGTTATTTTTGCTGGAGGTTCGGCCTTAACAGTGGCATCCATGTGTAACAATTGGCCACTGCGCATGATCTTCTTCTGTAGATTCTTTCGATCAATGTGAGGTTTTAAAAAACGTGGTTTCGCTACAACAGATTTGGAAACATCGCTGGGATCACTTGGGCCGGCTTTATTAACAGCGACCACACGGAACTCATATTCATGTCCTTCTTCAACAGCGGTCACAGTGCCCTTAGTCTTGTCACCGGGAACTGTAGACGCATCTACCCAGGCGCGACCTGACTTATCACGCATTTGTATTATGTATTTTTGAATAGGAGCACCTCCATCGTTTTTGGGAGGATCCCATGCTAAATCAACAAAGTCCTTGTCCCAATTGGTTGGCTCGGGTCGACCTGGTTTATCTGGCTCATCATAGGGATTCTTCGCAATAATTGGCTTTTCTGTTTCCAAATCTTCAGACTCGCCCTCTTTATTGACAGCGCGTACACGGAACTTATAGGGCTTGCCTTCGTGTAAGCCAATAACCTTAGCTTCAGGCTCGGAACTTTTGCCGCATGGTAGCCATTGCCCAGTATGTGGATCCAGTTTTTCTATTTCGTAATAGTCAATTGGAGCCCCACCATCGTCTTCAGGCTTTTCCCACTTCAGCTTACAGCTGTGTTTGGTAATATCATTAACTTGCAACGGACCCTTAGGTTTACCTGGTTTGCCAAGTACAGTCACATCTAATTCAGCAACATCTTCTCCCACTTCATTTGTTGCCTTAATGGTATATTTGCCACTTTGTGGCCGTTTGGCTCGCATAACAAAGAATTTGGTATTATAATCAACGTTGTCAATGTTAATACCTTCTTCATCACTAACCACAGGTAATCCATTAAACAGCCATTCCACCTTCGGAGCTGGCTCACCTCTTATATTAATATCTAAGCTGATAGACAAACCAGCTTTCACAATAACAGGCTTTAGGTTTGTTCTGTCTATATGGGGCTTCACTGTAACAAATAAAAATCAATACATAAGTATTACAATGTTAAATATAAACTTTTAAAAAACCTACGGAAACGTGGTTTGGCAGTATGCCAATTAGTTTGTTCTGATGGTTCCGAAGGACCAGCTTTGTTTATAGCACGAACGCGGAATTTGTACTGCTGGCCCTCTTCCAGTTTTTTTATGACTCCCTTGCAAATAGGACCCTCTGTTTCTACTGCTTTAACGAACTCTCCCGAATCCTTGTCCATGACTTCAATTATATAATTTGTAATGGGCGAACCTCCATCCCGAATTGGTGGTTCCCATTTTAGTTTTACATGATGCTCATCCCAATCTTCAAGTTCTGGTAGTCCAGGTGGTGAAGATATATCAAATGGATTCTTAGCAGTAATAGCCGAATCAGTTTCGAGTGGCTCTGAGTCACCTTCTTCATTAATGGCCTTTACTCTGAACTGATAACGATGATTAGGATCCAAGTTTTTGACATCGAGCTCTAACTTTTCAGGATCAATAGTTCCTACAGGTACCCATTTCCCAGTCGCTGTATCCATTTTTTCAACAGCATAGCCTGATAGGGGGACTCCGCCATCGTCTTTAGGTTTTTTCCACTTAAGCTTACAGCCTTCTTTATGTATATCCGAGACTTCCAAGGGTCCTTCGGGTTTTCCTGGCTTATCCAATATAATGACTTCGACTTCAGCTTCGTCAATACCATTCATATTCTCAGCTTTAAGCTTATAAAATCCAGTATCTTTCCGTGATGTATCCATTAACATAAGTTTCGTGTTGTAATCCTCGTTATCCAATCGTAACTGTCCACTGGGTGTTACTTCCTTTTCCTTGCAGAACCATGTCAGAGTGGGGGCTGGCTCACCTTTAACATCAACATCAAACTTAACAGTCTGACCAGCTCGTACTTTAACAGACTTCATTTTCTCGCGATTTATGGATGGCTTAACTAAAATGTGTTCAATATTATTTTAAATTGATTGTTTGACGCTCAAAATTATATATAAGTTTGGGAAAATTATATAATGTAGTGAAAACAATTTTGGCTCAACATAAAAACAAGCAATTGCATATACGTACCAGAAATGAAATAAAAAACAACTATAATATAAATTAGCAAATAAGCGATTATATTCACATTTTCCCAAAAAATAAGCAAAAGTATGTCCCCATTTTTTCTTTTTGGATTTTATGCAAAAAGTGGTATGACTGACAATAAAAATTCTTACGATTTCTCGGTTTCGCCAAATGAGGCTGTGTTGCATCGCTGGGCTCACTAGGACCGGCCTTATTGATAGCACGAACACGAAATTGATAGACATTTCCTTCGGTAAGGCCGTCGACTGTTGCCTCAGGTGTAGGGGACTATATACCGCGGTTGAAAGATATAATTATGAAATGAATTGTATATATATATTGTTATTATAGCCCACATGTTATGACGGGGTTAGTACGTAATAGAAGTACTTACGTTAGTTGTAAGAATTTCATCCCATATGGGTGAAAATTTATCCTTCCTTTCAATAACATAGCCAGTGATTGGCGCACCACCATCGTCTTTGGGTACCTCCCATTTTAGCTTAACCATGTGTTCATTATAATCATCAATATTTGGTGTACCTGGCTTACTGGCAGCATCATAAGGATTCTTTGCTAATATGCTACCATCGGTCTCCAAAGGTTCAGATTCACCTTCCTCATTGATGGCTTTAACCCGAAACTGATACTCATGACCTTCCTGAAGGCCCTTGACATCAAATTCAGTATCATTGCCAGAGGTACGACCGACCGGTACCCAACGACCTTGTTTCTTATCGAACTTTTCTACTTGGTAGGCTGTAATTGGCTTACCACCGTCATCTTCTGGCTTTTGCCATTTTAATTTGCAACTATCTTTAGTAATATCTTTGACATCTAGTGGTCCCTTTGGTTTACCCGGAGGTGCTAAAACATTAACTTCAACAGTTGCTTCATCCTCCCCATGCTCATTGATGGCCCGTATTTTATATGTGCCCGTATGCTTTCTCACTGTATCAATAATTGAAATTTTCGTATTATGCGGTATATTTTGAATGTCGCAATTGCTTGGCAAGTCTGCTGGCTTGAGTTCCTTGTCGTTTTGATACCATATTATTGTAGGAACAGGCTCGCCACGTACATGCACATCGTATTTGATAGGCTTTCCAGCGCGAATAAGCAATGGCTTTAAATTTGTTCTATCAATGCGAGGCTTCACTGTTTAATAAAAATTTATAGTTTTGTGGTAAATAATAAAAAAAAAAAAAATCTTTTTGTGTGTCACGATATGCAGTAGAATTTTTCCATAATATACTTAGTTATTAATACTAGTTATCTTATCATTGGTTTTTATTTCGATACTTACATTTTTTATACTTTACGATTTGTGGCACGCTCGCATCTGATGGTGGCGAAAGACCTGCCTTATTGACTGCAATGACACGGAACTGATACTCGCCGTATTCTTGGAGACCGGCAACTGTAGCCTCTAATTGATCACCAGGAATCTCTAGGGCCTTTTCCCATTCCAGCCTATTCTTATCCTTCATTTCAATAATATATTTTTGTATTGGAGCTCCACCATCACTATTGGGAGGTGTCCATTTTAAGCTGACACTCTGATTATCATAATCGGTAACTTCAGGAGTACCTGGTTTGTTGGGCTCATCAAATGGATCCTTGGCAACAACGCCAACAAGTGTTGTCAGTGGCTCAGATTCACCCTCCTCATTTACAGCAGATACCCGAAACATATACTCAGAGCCAGGATTCAAACCTGTAACATCAAAACTAGGTGGTTCTTTTTCGCCTGGGGACCGTCCAACCCTAACCCATTTGCCAGTTGCTGTATCCATTTTCTCAACAACATATTCCTTAATCGGCACACCGCCATCGTCTTCAGGCTTTTTCCACTGCAATTTACATCCAGTAGCTGTAACGTCGCTGACAGCCAGAGGTCCTTTCGGAGAACTTGGCCTACCAAGGACAACCAATTCAACAGTTTCGCGATCAACGCCATTACGATTTTCTGCCTTCAATGTGTAAAAACCGCTATCTTTACGCTTGGCATTCGTTATAACAAAATCCGTATGATAATCAATATTATCGATACTTATGCGATCCCCAGTTGTTAGCGGAACGTCGTCACGCCAACTCCAATGTACTTCGGGTATCGGCTCACCGGTAATGTCAACCGACCATTTGTGTGTTCGTCCACTTTTGATTGTGACACGTTTGAATGTTGATCTATCAATTTGTGGTTTGACTAAATAATTATATGCAATACAAAGAATTGATCAAGTCCAAAAGAGTGTTAGTCTTAATGCCACATCGTTTTGTAAAAAGTACTTTTATAATATATGAAGATACGTACATAATAAAAGCGGTAGCAGTGGGTCTTATGCGATATGCTGTAAAATATTTATTTGAACTAGCTGTTCAATTATTAGCTTAAATTTCATGTTAGTAATTATCCCTCCGTCTGTCCATTTTTTTAATATATATAGTCGATAATATATGTATATATACTACCGACTGCAAAATAGTAATTTTCGGTCGAAGCGTCATCAGTTCCATTTTCCGATTTCCCAACTCTATTTTCTAACTATATGTGTATAGTTTTAAACGTAATGCGATGCATTTCAAGATACCGTTATCCTCCGCCATGCATCTTATAGCAGTAGATATTTTCGTCCAATTTTGTATACCCTGAACCCATTGAAAATGGGAAATCAGGGTAGCCTTCTTACTTATTTTTTGATTAAGTTTTTTATATACCAGCTGCGAAATCGGAAAATAAGTATTCTACAGTCTGTAGTGCCCGACTGCAATTTTCGTTCATGATTTTCTTCAAATTGACACATATATGTTACTGATATGTAAGCTATTCTGAATGAATTATTTGTGCAATGTTTATATGTATACATATGCTTTGAATGTATGTTAAGCCAAAATCAAAATTAATTAAATATGTTTTGTTGAGGTTAAGATATTAATTATACTAGGAAAACAACCATCAATCATACAACTTACGATTCTTATGCTTGCAAAGATGATTGTCTGTGGGTTGAGACGGCTCAGACGGGCCAGCCTTGTTGACTGCACGCACTCGGAACTGATATACCATTTTCTCCTTGAGTCCGTCCACTTTGCATTCTGGTGTTGGATCTTCAGTTTTGGCAACTTCAGTCCATGTTGGTGAGAATTTATCTTTCATTTCAACTACATAATGCGTTATGGGACGTCCACCATCCGATGGGGGTCGTTTCCATTTAAGCGAGACGCTCTTGTTATCATAATCATCAATAATGGGTTGGCTAGGTGAACTTGGTGGGTCATAGGGATTTTTGGCGACAATGGCATCAGTTGTTTCCAATGGTTCAGATTCACCCTCTTTGTTGATAGCTTTGACACGGAACTTATATTTTTTATTTGGAGTCAGACCCTTAAAGTCAAACGACGTCTCGCCTGGACCAACTTCTCCAGCTGGTATCCAACGGCCAGTTTCTTCATCCATACGCTCTAGGGCATACCCCGTGATTTCACAGCCTCCATCATCTTCTGGTCGTTTCCACTTCATTTTAATGTGATGAGCCCGAACCTCTTCTGGTTCAAATGGCCCACCTGGTGCTAATGGACGGTCCAATACAATAACTTGGGCTTCAGATTCAATGGTACCTGAACTGTTGGTCAATATTAACTTATATTTTCCAGTATCTTTACGCACAGACTTTTTGATAGTTATCGATGAATTCCTTTCGAGCTGTTCAAGACAAATCCGGTGATTGTCAATCTTGAGAGGCTCATTAGACTTATGCCAACTAGCCGCTGGCTCGGGTTCGCCATCATATTTAATGTCGTAACGTACAGTCTGTCCCTTTTTCACAGTTATATTTTTAAGACCATCACCAACAAGAAACGGTTTAACAAATCGACATTTGGCTATAATGGCTTTTGTCTTGTCACTAGGCTCGCCAGGACCTGCCCGATTAACAGCACGGACTCGGAATTCGTACTGTTGGCCCTCCTTCAGATTATTAACGGTACCGACCCTAGCATCTCCCGGCACTTCATTACCGGATACCCAATCATTAGAGAATTTTTCTTTATATTCAATTATATAAGAGGTAATTGGATCGCCACCATCACTATCTGGTGCTTCCCATTTAAGGTCAGCGTGATCCCTATCCCAGTCAGTAAGGTCAACGGCTTTAGGTTTTCCAGGCTCATCCCATGGGTCTTTTGCAAGTATTGAGTTCTTAAATGTAGCTGGATCCGATGGACCAATTTTGTTCACAGCACGTATACGAAATCTGTACTGCTTCTTTGGCACTAAGTCAGTGATCTCTTTGTGACATGGTTCACTGGGCAGAGCCTCAGCGACAGGCTCCCAGCCTTGTTTTTTACTCAAGTCTTGACGTTCAATAATATATTTTGAAATAGGACTTCCACCATCATCTGCTGGTGGCTTATAATGAACCACACATGATGTTTGGTAAATATCAGTAATATCAACATCGAGTGGGGGTTGTGGAACATCTTGACAAATAATATTTATATCTTTAGTATCTTCGCCTTGTCCATTTGATATCTTTATTTGGTATGGTCCTGATAAATCCCTAGATGGCTTTTTAATCTTAAATGTGACCTTATCATCTGTCACCGCAACCTCAACATCTTTGACAGGCAAAGGCTTTCCGTCCTTTATTAGTTTTGCCTCAACTGGAGATTGCCTAGTACCGCTAACTAGATATATGCATATGAATAATATTAGAAAAGAAAGTAATTACATGTGGAAGTTAGACAGTTATTAACATATATTATACTAAATTTAATATACATATATTAAGCAAGTAAGAAAACTCTAGTCGAAAGCGCTCGACTATGTATTAAACTGAACCAAACTAATAACAATGGCAAAGCTGAATAAATTCACTGTTGCAGCGTCATCTATCAAATCTAAACTAAACTAACTGCTGATGTAATTCTAAGCATATGCTAGAATAAGTTTGAATAAATGTGTGCACACGTACATATAGGAAAACTGTTGTAGCTGCTGCACGTGCGTGTGTTAATTGACTAAACATTTTCTTATTTTTTAACGTCGATTAACTTAACGGAATTCAATGAAACTTTCAGCATATGATCTACATATCCTATTGAAAACTTAATCTATATATATAAAAGAAAGTTGTGTAAAAGTGAAGACTGCTTATAACTTGATTTGGGCTGAACCAATTTTCATGGTTTTTGATTTGTTGGATTTGTCTCCGCAACGAGTTTAGTATAGGGTCTTAAAAATACTGAAAAAATTTGCCGAATACTTGAAAAACGCGGTTTTTTCCCCAAATGTTCAAATTTTTTTTATACCCAGTAGGCTTGGTAACAGTGACAGTTTTGACAATAGTGTAGAAGTAAATAAACAAATGTAGTCAGTCAGTCTACGGTCTCCTGACCTCGAGCAGACCTGACTATTCAAAAAAAAAAAA